CAGAAGCAGTGGGACAACGGCTCAGAAGCCCCTACCTCTGGGCTGGGAACAGTGGGACTCAGTACCTTGGTCTGGTGGTCTGGTGTCCTCTGCGTCTTTGTATTGTGGAATCAGGTGGCTGCCTGTGTGCAGCGGGGTCATTCGGTGTCATCTGCGCGACTCAGGACCTCGGTAGGGCGTGCACAGACCTGCCTGTCTGCAGTGAGGTGATTCGGCGTCTTCCGCGCAACTCAGGACCTTGGTAGGGCCTGCACAGACCTGCCTGTCTGTAGCGGGCTGATTCGGCGTGTGTTCTGCGCGACTGGGGACCTCGGTGAGGTGTGGGCAGCTGAAGTATTATAAGCATTTTTATTAAAGAAACAAGAATGTCTGCTGATAGCTATTACTGCAGCCAGCTGGAAGTTCTAGCTAAGAGATCAGAAGTGAAATCACCATTGTTTGCAGTGAAAAGATTTTCCACCGAGAAAACAGAGGAAAAATGGACTTTAAATGGTTAGAGTGATCAAGGTTCTTTCATAAAATCATCTATTAGAAAATAAAATCTAAAAACCAATGTTTTGTATATGACCTTTAAAAATAAATTAGGCATATTTAAAAAATCATAGAACAGGAAGATACTGTGAACAGAGATTTTAAAAAATACTTTGAAATTTAAAATGGTAGCCAAACAAAACTTTAATAGAAGTTTAAAAGATAGCCTTGATACATTTTCTTAGAGAAGAGAAATTCAGAGGTTGGTCAAAGGAGAAGAAAGATGAGAAAATGCAAAGGTCCACCCAGGAGCCCAGCATCGAAGATACCATCCGGGAGGCGGAGGAGGAGGGAGGCCCACGCAGGTTAAAGGATGGGTCACCGAGCTGAATGGCAAAACTAAGGGAGTAAACCAAGGCCATTTTTGTTCCGATTTCCTTCATTCTGACGTAACATTTTCTTTTCCTCCCGTTGTGTGTAGCTGTCATCAAGTTGCCCGGGCAGCTACATTTCTCAGCCTTCCCTTGTTTTCCGGGCCTGGGACCCCTTTTGAGGAGCACTGGTCGGGTGCTCAGGAGTGCGTCATTGCTGGGGCTTGTCTGATATTCTTCTCACGACCAGACTGAGGCGGTGGGTTTGGGGAGGAAGAACCCAGGGTTAAGTGGCATTCAGATCACACTTACGAAGGCTACACACGCTCCCACACCCGCTCACCTCCTATGGCAGCTTTGTGGGGTTTCTCTACTGTGAGGCCCTGTCTCCCATCCACCTCCTCCTTGGTGTGTGCAGCGGGGTCGGCCCAGGCCTCACTTGTGCCAGGCAGGCACTGGGCCGCAACTGCAGCCCCAGCCCCTGCTGTATTTGGAGGAAGTCACTGCCTGTGCCCAGACAAGGGTGGCCTCGTGCTTCCTGCTGCAGGGGGTCGGGCACAGAGCCAGGCGGCCTGACCCTCAGGAGTCGCTGCTGGGTGCTGCAAGGACGGCGGGGAGCACGGCCAGCGGATGCCACAGCTCTGCCCCCGCCGCACGCTTGCTGTCCCACCAGCCTCCAACGGGACCCTGTTGCTCTGCATCCTCACCAAAAGTTGGTCCTGCAGCTTTGTCTTTATGCTAATCACTCTAATAGGCATGTTGCATCTTACTGTTTCCAAGCTGCTATTTTTCAGTACGTGATGTATGTCTGGTAATTCAAGAGTACCGGTGAATCTTTTCATCTGATATTCATGCCGATTCTTGTTCATTCTTTTGGTGAACCAAAAAAAAAAATGCTTTTGGTATCCCTAATTGATTATAGGGTGGACACTGTGTTTCAGAAAGTGGTTGTAGGAAAAAAGAATAGCCTTTTCTTCCTCCTGAGGTTTTCTTTTGTTTCTGCCTGGTGCCTGTGGGTGACTCTAATGGCAGGGCTTGAACTTCTTGGGGTGCACCCAGATAGCCCAGATAACCAGCAGCAGGGCTGCTGTTTTAGAGGCTGTGCTTACTCCTCCACTGCAGCCCTCTGGGGTTGGCAACTCTGCAGTCTTATTAGCTTTTTCATGTTTGAGGAATGATGATGTTTTATTTCTCCCATATATTTTAGCTTCCTTTGGGGAAGAAATTACTGCAAAAAATAAAAAAGCGTTCTGACTGCTCTTTCCTTCTTCAGGTACAAAGAACCTTCTGGCTAGATGTAGTGGTGTGCATCTGTAGCCCCAGCACTTGGGAGGCTGAGGCAGGAGGAGTGCTTGAGCCCAGGAGTTCAAGGCCAGCCCGGGGAATGTCACAAGATGCTGCCTATAAAAATAAAAACTTCTGACTTATGGTGTGTCACTGATCTGAAAAATCACAGTAAAATCTTGGTTTGTGAGCACAATTTGCTCTGGAAACTTGCTTGTAATCCAAAGCATTTGTATATCAAAGTGAATTTCCCCATCAGAAATAATGAAAACTCAGATGCTTCACTCCATCTGAATGTATAGGAAAAATATTCAAGAAAAATGATTACAATACTGTAATATAAAAGAAATACAAAATATAAAGAATAAATTAAGCAGCATTTACCTTTGAAAGCCTTCGGGCTGGTGTGAGATGAAAGATGAGGGTTACTGTGTAGGACGACTTTCACTATCGCTAACGGAGCCACTGCTAGCTATTGGCTCAAGGGAATCTTTCTTTTTCTGCAACATTAACAAGGAACCTCTCCAAGGACACTTGCTTTTGCCTCCTTTGGAGGATTCTGCAGAAATGTGACAGGCACACAATTCCACAGCCAGAGAGAGAGAGAAGAGCCATTGATCATGTGACACCCCATGTCACTACTACTTGTATTGCAAGACACTGCTTGTGTATCAAGTTAAAAATCATCAGAAATGTTTGCTCATCTTGCAGAATGCTCCCAGAACAAGTTATTTGCAATACAAGGTTTTACTGAATACTCCTTCCTGGGCCAGGACAGTGCCACCTAACCACAGAATACTTCACAATCTCTTATATAAAGACAATTTTATTAATAAAAAGATCACTCAAAGTTCTTGTGTACAAAGTTATCTGTTTACAATTGTGGAAAAGTTAATATTTATAACATTTTCCATACAGTACATGATAATTTTCTATGCTTTAATAGTATGCTAAATATACCAAATGTATCAGAAAACTTTAAGAAACAAAACCATGAAAACTCTTGAGTATCTTGACGTCTGTGTACAACATGCATTTCTGTTTCTCAGGACTACATTTTCCCCCACCGGACTGGCACTAATATTACTAAGACACTTTTGTATGCTCAGCTACTTCACTGCAAAAATGAATTTTGCATAACATCTGACAACACTACGCTTTATAACATGTTTGTAGTAGTCTAAACATTAAAAAAGAAAACCAAAAATTAAGATAAAGAAAAAATCTAAGCATCTGTAAATGGCTGTAATGCAGTTGTGGGTGGTCAGGAAACATCAAGAAAAGGAAACCAATCGCACCTGGCTTAGTTTATAAAAGAACAACATTTCCTCAGCTAAGCCTTCAGGGTGTTTCATTTCAAAAGCTCCAGAGGGCAGGGAGTAACACGTACTGGCTCAGGGGCTGAGCACTCACTTCAGTGGCAGGAGAGGTCTGTGTGGAATTCACGGAACAATGAGACATAACAGAACTCCCTCACAGGCAGGGGGAAGTGGTTCTTCACAGTTGAACACCTGTTAGAAAACCTCTTGGTGTGCCAACTATTTTTTATGCTATAAAAGAATACTATGTTCTAATGGAAGCAAAGTCTTTGTAAATAGGGAAGGGTGGAGGGGGTGAAGGGAGGGCAGGGGAAGGGGGAAAAACAAGAACCAAGACACATCATGTAAAGGTACAAGATCCCATGATGAATGTGACTGTATTGTACACCTAAAATGTACCAATAAACTAAATGGAAAAAAAAAAAAAAGAAAAGAAAGAATGCTGCGTTCTAGTTGTCTTAGAAATTCAGTGTAGGGCCAGGGATTTAGCCCAGTGGTTTGGCCGCCTGCTGCGCAAGCGCAAGGAACAGAGTTTGATCCCCGGTACCAAAAAAAAGAAAAAGAAATTCAGTGTAAATGCTACCAAAGTAGTGCTAAAATATCAGAATATGACAATAAAAATATGTGAATCGATTTTCCAGGATTTCCAAAATATTCAAATACATATAAGCCTATTTTCAAATATATATAAAAAAAAGTACAAGGATGAGATTTAAATACGTCAGTAAAGAAAACTTGCACTGATGTCAAAAAAGCGAAATAGCAAAATACATCTTCTAACTCGGTAGAATCTTCATAAATACGAGAGGAAGATTCCTCCAGGTCCCTCCTTGCACACGATGTAAAAAATACTGACCCGCCCGTTTGTTTCCAGGAATACTGCTGTCCCCGGCCTCTGCGGAAGAGAACCCTGTTGTCCTGTTGTCCTCGATCTCAGTTTTTTCCGGGTAGCACAGTGGTGGATGCAGCGCCAGATGCAGAGGTCGGAGGCCCCAGTGGCTCCCCGGGCGCGGGCGCGGGCGCGGGGGAGAGCGGGGCCCGGGTGCCCTGAGGGCTGCGGGGCTCGGGGGAGCGGAGCGCCTCCCCGCTCTGGCCCGGGCTGGCGGCGCTGTCGCTCCGGGGACTCCGCCTGGGAAGAGAAGACGCAGGTGCTGAGTCCCGACCGCTTCCCGCACCTTCCCGAGTGCGGATACAGGCAGCTGTTTTCTATACCGCTTTACCTGACTGCAGACTTCGCCCGCGCGCCCATGCAGGATGGACCCACACGGGCGTCCGGCGCGAAGTCGATTCCCGCCCTCAGTGGAGCAAATCCCTTACGGATTCCCAAGACACCAAGAAAGAGGCGGCCCGACCTGTGTGAGACCGCGCCTCCGCCTGGAAATCTAGAGAAGGAGAAAGCCTGGATCTGACCACAGTCCGGCCCCACAGAGGCTGCTGTGGGGCCGGGTGGGGCGGCGCACACCTGTCGTCCCAGCGCTCTGGGAGGCTGAGGCAGGAGGACCCCAGGTGTGAGCCCAGCCTGGGCAGCGTAGTGACTTAGTGAGACCCTGTGTCAAAGTTTAAAAAGGCCAGGGGGTATGGCTTAACATAAAGATACTAGGTCCAATCTCCAATACTGGAACAAGCCCCAGAGAACAAGCAAAGCTGCCAGAGAAAGAGAAAACACGCTTTTAGCCAGCGTGGACTAGCTAGGGTAACCTGACAGCTTAAAGCACTTAGCTGTCAGCATTCTGGCCCATGTTTACCTGGGTTGTTTTTTCCTGGGTTTTGGTCATCTATATCCCCGAGGGAAAATTCGTTAACAATGTCAACGTCCTTCACGTTCAGAAAACACTTTCCAGTCATCTTTATACAACTCCTCTTAGACGGAGCTATGATGTGGCATTAGTGAAACAGCCTGTATTTCAGATGGAGTGGAAATACTGAGCTGAATGTATAAGCGACCCGTGACACCTCCACAGAGTGAACACTGCTGCTGCGGACGGGGAGCAGTGCCGGACTATTTGACTGGCGCTGAGAAGGGAACGCTCAGGCAGCTGCCTCCAGGCCCGGGCCAGCCTCCCTGCCTGAGCACAGCGTGCAGCCACCAAATGCTTGCTTTCCAGGTGTGCGAGACCACCGTGCTACGCGAGCAGATCAGACACGCAGCTCAAGTATGGCATGGTTCCTACTCCACGAGAAACCCAGGTGTAAATAATTCACAGAGCAAGCGAGAAGACACAATGGGGAACAGGGAGATGGGCTTAGGGTTAAGAAGAAGAGCAAAGACGAGTTGCAGGTCTGTGCCAGCCCGCGGTGGAGCAGGTGATCACCGGGCCCGGCATACACGGGCTGATAAAGGCAAATAAGCAACGAAAAAGATGTGATGCAGCGGTTAGAATCGGATGGGGATGGTCTTCGGTATCGAAACCGCCTCACCTTCCCTCACTCCGGGCACCGTCGGAGACGCTGCCCCGGCCCTGCACACTGGCGGCCGGGCTTCTCTCGCGAACTGCGTCCGCGCCGCCGAGTCTGGGGCTGGCTGCGGGGCACCCGGGCTCCCCGCTGTCCTGCTCCCGGGCCGCGCCCGCCTCCCTCGCTGACGACCCCTCCGGGGAGGTCTGGGTCTCCGTTGCAGTCTCCTGGCCCAGGCAGTCCTGGTCGGCCATGGCCACGGCAGAGGTGCCGTGGTTGGCTGTCGCCGCGGTGCTGGTGCCCATGGATTTGGAGATGACCTTCAGCTTATGCGACCCCGGCTTGCAGTGCTTCTTCTTGGGCTTGACCCTGGAGTTGTGCTTCAGGAAGAACTCGCAGGACTCCTGCAGCACACGGCGGCTCTCGCTGATCGGACTGCGGGGAAACCCGGGAGAAAACGTGCTCAGTGCTTCGCGGGTTAGAAGTCCCACCTGATGGATATTATCTACAAAATCCGCCACTGCGAATACTGTGAAGTAAGAGGCCTCCACCAGGCAGACCTGGGTTTGGGCTTACACCTTGCTCCTGTCAGCAGAGCTGTAAACTGGTAAGAAATTAAATGGACAAAAATCAAAGAATGGGGCAAGGGAGGACAAAGCAGCATAAAGGAAGGGCGGGCTGGACCTGTACCATATCTAAGTACATCAGGCAGGAAAGAGAGCCGGAAGACCAAGGATGTGGCATATAATTAGCGGTCTTGACTTAGGTCTAATTGTTTTCTTTCTAAAATTAAGGCTTGCAATGTTTACTGTCTTAGGCAGAAAGGTTCTGGTATTATGATCTGTTTATTTTCAAACAGTGTCAGAGAACTCATTAGGCTCTTACTCTCTCTTGCGATTTCGTTTAAAAAACCCAGCCCATTCTGTGCAGGTCTTTTTGCTTCCAACCCAGAAGACAGCAGAGATGCCGACGATCAACGTCATCAGGTATTTTATCATGAACAGCGCCAGCTCCGGTCGAGCTGCTGTTTTTACCTACAGAAAACATATGATATATTTAAAATACCAATGTAGTTGGGGATTTAGCTCAGTGGTTCTGGCGCCTGCCTGGCAATCGCAAGGTCCTGAGTTTGATCTTAGGTACAAAAAAAAAAAACCAAAACAACAACAACAACAAAAAAATGCCAATGTAAAACTTGAACGAAACTTGTAAATCTTCTGTTTCATTATAAAAGGTTTGAAATGCATAATATAATGAATAATATTTAAGTCCAATACATTTTTTAACCATGTTCTGAACAAATAACCTTTAGGGGCACATTGAAATAGATCTCCTGAAGAGGAAAAATATTTAAATATATTTAGTATTTTTTTAGGTTTTGGCAAATTTAAATTTTGGCATAATTTCGTTGCCTTTTTCCTATAGGTACAGCAGCCTCTTATAATTGTTAAATATTTACCTATTTTCTTTCACTATAATCTGCCACAAAAAATATATCTAAACTTATAACAACAACATATTTTACAGTCTTCACACATTCATGATTATGTGATAAAAACTTGTTTGGCCAAAGTAAAATAAGTCAGTAAAATGTAGAAAGTGTAGAAATTTCATAAAAATTAAAATCATACTTTTGTTTCAAGCATAAGCTTTCAAATAATATTTTAAATTATTGTATCAGTACCAAAATATCACGTGTTCTACATTCTCTTTGCTTTTGATCTTACTAACATTTCTTGGCGGCCACATCCATACAAATAAAGCCTCCCCTTCTTTGTAGAGAATTGGCCTGTTGTGTGGATGAACTAGGACTTATTCCACTACCCGTCTGGAGATATTTAGGGTACTTCCAACTTGCAAGTAATGTTGCAATGATTACTTTTATATTATGTAAGATAATCTTTAATTTGATACACATGAGGTCAGTGTTCGTGTTTTAATATCATACACCAATATGGAAGAATGATGTGTAAGATCTACTTTTAAAAAGCAAAATTTCTATTAAAAATCTCAACAAAAATACTTTAATAATTTTTTTTATTTTCAGAAACTTACTCTTTTAAATCTTAAAAACACTACCCTTATACTAACCCTAACCATTAGAAACACATAAAACATATTCTGCTTCAATTGTGCTTTTTTTTCTCACCTAAATGACAGTATAGGTTAGGGAAAAATCAAACTCTGTTTTTGTTAAGTATAGACAGACATTCCTGTGACTAGGTGCTTAAATGATTCAGGACAAGGAAATGGTCAAAGGAAACGCCAATCGATGACTTTGCTTTTATCTGCGTAACTCTTACACACAGTGTTCTGACATTTAACAACAGTACGGTGCCACAGTACCATCAGCAAAAATCACAGTGCTGTATACATAAGGTGGACTGCTCAACAAGACACCGAGGCACTATTAACAAGATGCACAGAATTGTACCAAAAAATAAAAAAATAAAAAAGATGCGCTGTGAGTCCGAGCTGCAGGTTGCAAGCCTAAACAGCGAGCCTCGGTCTTAAGTTTGGACTGCAGTTAAACAGGTAGGTCGCTGAAGGAAGAATGTCTGTACTATGCAAAAAGCTGTCAGATAACGTAATCAGACAGACCCAGGTAAGGGTTTTCCCCAGTTCAGCAGCAGTTACTTCTCTTCTTCTCCCTCCCCGAGGCCTGTTCTTCTGACTGCTCGATACTTAGCTGCCTTTTCAACCCAGCTGAAAGTTTTCAGGAATAAAGGGGGCACTGCTCACTACTGTATGAGTGCTACAGCTTCAGAAAGATCTCTCAGGACACTTACCTGAGTTTCAGCGGATGCATGGGAATCATTCGCTGTATCTGCTGGATTTTCCCACCCGAAATCTAACTTCACACCCAGGACCCACACAGCACACTTCCAGGAACAGTTCCAGTTCGTACCTGATATGGACACGGGATGTGGTACTGGCGACAGTGATCGGAGACCCACGTGATCTCCCAGGTCACCCTGTTCACCTGCTCGTAGACGTAACACCCCAGCAGCGTCACCAAGGGCACGAGGTACAGGCCACTGAAGACCCCGATGCGGATCATGAACTTCTTCAGCTTCTCCTGGTTGCGGCCATCGTGCTGGATGACTTGTCGCACGTGGTTCAAGGAGACAATGCCAGCCAGGAGCAGTGACAGCCCCACAAACACGCACAGGCACAGTGGCAAAAGCACGAAGTAGCGGGAGGCGGCCAGGTCGTAGAGGCCGACGAAGCAGACTCCGCTAATGCTGTCTCCTTCCACCTTGTTCATGGCCAGCAGCATAACAGTCAGGAAACCTGGGATCCCCCACGCCACCGCGTGGAACCACACTGCCTTCTGCTCTATGGCCTCGCAGCTCCACTTCCTCCCCGCAGCGAGGAACCAAGTGATGGTCAGAATCACCCACCACACGGTGCCAGCCATGGTGAAAAAATACAGAAACATAAACAAAACGGAGCAGGCCTTGTTCTGGGAGCCTAGGACCACAGTGGCCCCGAGCTCCAGCTTCTCGTCTGCCTTGTTGCAGGCCGCGCTATCGCCGAGCAAAAACCCGATGAAGTACATGAGGGACACGATGCTGTAGCAGACAGAGTAGTATATGATCGGCCTCTCTGGGTACCGGAACCTTCTCACATCAATTAAAAAGGTGAGAAATGTGAACAGAGTTGCACAAAGGCAGAATATCGAAACTATTCCAATAAAGCTTTTTGCGAATTCTAACTCGTCGCTTTTGAAATACATGTTGGGGCATGGAGGTGCACACTGCTCGATCCCCAGAAACTTATAGCCCTGCCCCCCGGAAGTCTTAAGGTGCCTGGGACACCAGAATCCGATGTCTCGCTGGACCTGTTCTGTTTTCTTCTGGGGACCAAGAGCTCTTCCGTGTGGATGGAGAGCGGGAACTGTCTCGTTACAGTACTGCAGCCTGTAACCATAAAGTGAGACTGATGAAGCCCACATTGGCACTGATTTGCTGGGATATGCTTTCCAGCTATAAAACATCACCTTACACCTGCGAAACTGATGGGAAGATATACAAATCTACACGCGTCACAGGTTAGGGATGGGCAGAAGGTTTGAATTACTAAAGATTTGTGGGTCACAAGGCCTCAGCACACATACATATGAAACACAAGGCAGACACTAGCCAAATACATTTCAAATAATTCCTGCTCTTAAGACTATTTAAGAGAGAATTTACTTGAACTGCTTCTCTCCTGACGAAAAAAGAACTGGCTTGCCTACTTTGAGCACAGGAACCCTAAGTGTAGAGAAATTCACTTCCCTTCCTCTTTCGGTGCTGGAGATTGAACCCAGGGCTGTGTGCGTGCTGGGCCCCAGCCCACACCCTTATCCTGGGACAGCTAAAACGGCAGGATGAGATTCTTCCTCGGACGGAGAGGGTCGGGCTCAAGTTCCTAAGCAAGGCCAAGCAGGCCACAAAGAGTGGGACTGTGACCTCCTCCCTTCCCTGCCACCGTGCTGCTTAGGGCTGTGGGGACACGGTGACATTTCCCATGGGTACGGAATCTCAGTGGGCGAGTTTGCATGCACTGCTATTATTGTGATGACTCTGTATGGTTTAAAAAGCAGTCGGGGGTTTCACAAGAAACCATTTTAACTATATTTAGATAACAGAATAATAAAATAAATGCCCATATGAATACTTATATATTTATCAACTTGATTAAAATGTAATGTCAATTTTGCTAGAATTAGGGTTTTAATCAGAAATTCCTTTTTTTCTTCATGTTTTTAAAGTAAGATGCCACAAAAGACTGAAGGTTTAATGTATAGAACTGAAGAAAAATAAGATCTCTCTAGTACAGAACACACTAGAATTATTCCTGCGTGTACTTGACCAGCTCAACATTTTATAAAAGGCCTCGCTTTATATTAGCGGGCTGCAGTTTAACGTAAGGGGAACATAATTTCTTTAAAATAGAAATTCTACTTACTAGTTCCATGTGTCAAGCATTCGCCAACATGAAATAAATTCGATTTGGTTTAATTATTTTAAAAAGTGTCATTTTCTCAACAAAATGAAACTAAAAAGATGTATGTAGGTAGAGCATAAATTTCTGTAAGCTGCTCCTCCCCACTGTAACGTGAGGTCCACAGCAGGACCCCTGCATCCTTCGCTCAGGACGTGCTGCTGTGTAGTGAGAGCGATAAATGTTTGCTCGAGGGATCACCAGCTTTCTCAGCGCTCCCTGGGCTATCGCTGTCCTTGGTGACCCGACCGTCCTCGTGGACAGTGCACTCTGGCCACTCTGGCTTCTGCTTCCTCAATGCCCTTCTCTCAGCTGACCTCCCTAGGCCCTGGCCACCTGCAGTCACGGTGACGAGAGACCCTGCCACCCCTGCAGGTGCACCTGTCTCCAGGACGCAGCCCCAGCTCCCGCCTCATATGCAAGCGCCATCCTCCAGGCTCTCGGCTTAAAGGACGTCCGCCCTGAACCCCACCAAGCTCCTCTGGAGTCTCTGTTTCACTCCTCTGCCGGCCCTCGCCGCAGTAAGACCCTCACAGGCCTCGAACTGGCCCGTCTGCCAAAGCCACAGACAAACCCAAGCCCCACGCATCCTGCCGGAGGGACAAGGTCCCCGCCAGTCACAAGAGACCCAGGCAGGCTCCAGTGCCCTGAGCTCCTGGCACACTGGCAGCCTTCGCAGTGGTCCCTCTTGCTTTCTCCACGCTCAGGTGTGACCCTTCCCCAAGGCTGCCTGGGGTCCTGGCTCCTCTGCGAACTCCCCCACCCCGACCGGCCCCTCTCCCCAGAGCCTCCCGCTCTTCCTGGTTCTGCCAGGCGTTGGTTCTCTCCTGTTACAAGGGAGCCTCCGCCTGCTCCCCCGGCTGCCTCCCACTCCGCCTGTGTCATAGCCGAACTCCCAGGGCCCTTCATGAGTGCGCCGCACTGTGCCCACCCATGCCCACCGCAGCCCGCCTTCGACCATCCCTGAGGAGAAAGAACACGCTCTTCCGGTCTGCAGCACAGGTTGTGCTGCCTGGCCGGCCTTCCCCTCTGGGCACACATCTTCTCTCCCTGCCGTCCTCTGCCTCCTCTCTCCCTACCTGCGTGGCTGCCAGAGGTGCAGGAAGGAAGCGGCCGGGTCCCTGAGCACACAGGGAGCGAGCGCTCCTGCTGACACGGTAACATCGTGTCCTGCGAGCCTGCACTGTGGCCCAGCCTCCTCCGGGTCCTGCCTGCCTCACACAGCAGTCTTCCTGGCTCTCACCAGTGAGCTGCAAGGCTCTCCCACCCCACGCAAGCCCTGCGCCCTCCTGTCCCGAGGCCCTGAGGAGCTCCCCCGTGGCCAAGTGCTCCTCCTCCCTCCCCGGCTCTCCCTGCCGTGCCCAGCCCCCTGGCTGGCTCTGTCCCAGCCATCATTCCCCACTTGTGGCACAAAGTGACTTGATAATGCTGTCCCTCCCACCTCGACGGAAGTTTCTCGAGCGCAAGAACCACGTCTGTTTGCTGCCAGCCAATTGTCTTCGATGCACAACACCACATGCCAGGCACGTACTAGGCATGCAACAACGTCTGTGGACCACGCGAGGGCCTGTCACTGTCACCAACACCCCAGAGAGGGAGCAACAGCAGAGCACCATGGACAGCATTCAGGGAGAAACATCTCTTACCTGTCACATTCGAGTTCCTCGGGCCATCTGATCCCGAAGGTGTCAATGATGTTCTTGCAATCCAAATACACTTTCTCACAGAACTTACGGCAAGGTGGGACCACATGAATTTGCTCTGTGCAGGTTGGTATAAAAGCTTGGCAAAGGAAAGTTTCAACATTTGGTGAACAGTCCAGATTTGCGAGAGGAAGAAAGTGCTATTATGGAAAAACAGAAAGATACGTCAGACACATTCATCACCGATGAACCAAATTAATTCATTTAGGGTTTTGTACTTTCACTGCAAAAGATTCTTGAAATCTCCTCCCTGTGATCCAAGTGTGAGGAGATAACTCTCTTCACTCTGTTAGACTTACGGCCCTTCACAGCCCTCCCTGTCTCCATAAGGCCTGGGCTGTTCCCGCGAGATGCCCGCACGTCACCGTCACTGGTGCCCGGGGCACTGCCGAGCCCGCTGGGATTCTCCAACTCTTCGTTCTGTGCAATCCGCCTGCAGCGGTCCCAGCGGGTCCCATCTTTTCCATTTGTCTTCTCTGATATGGATTCTCCTGGGGCCTCTCCCCTCTCTCAGGCCTTCCTTTTCTGATTCACTTTCATTCCCCATTCCTATGGAACTTTTGCTGCAGGCGGCATTTCCTTGGACCAGAGCTCCGCCCCAGCCCTCTCCTGGGGGAACCCGCCAGCCCGCTCTCTCCTGTGAACTTCGGTCTCCAGCAACATCTGCTCTGGCACTTGGCTGTCTGTCAGCAGCATCCGAAGCCCAACACATCTAACACAACTCAGTGCGCGGTGCCCCGGGCCCCAAAGGCCGCTGGTCTCGTTTATTTGTTTTTGTTTTGGTACCAGGGATCGAACTTGGGACCTTGAGCTTGTGAGGCAGGCGGCAGCACCTGAGCTAAATCCCCGGCCCAAGGCCGCTGGTCTCGGATCTCAGCAAGTGGCCCACCGTCTGCCAAGCCGCACAGACCAAGGAAGTGCGGATCCCTTCCTCGCTTCTCTCCTCCCACAGCCACTCCGGCTGCCATCCCAATGCGTTCCACACCGTCACCGCCCTGCTGGGCCACTGCAAAGCCCCCAGGAGCCCCACTTCCCCACCCTGCCGATCCCACAGGCGAGTTCCCGCGCTTGGAATCCACTCTGAGGTCTTCCCCAGCTCCCGCCAGGCTGTGCATTTCCTAGCCCCGCCGTCTCCAATTTCACTGCCTGCCACTGTGTTCCATTCCTAACGTGGCCTTCTGCTTCTCCTCATTCCGCGTGCACTTCTGTCTTGGGATCGGGTTCCGCGCTCCTGTCACCTGCTCTGCCGGCGTCACCGTGCTGACCGAGTCCCTGCGCAGCTGTGGCGCTGGAAGGGCTTTGTCTGCCCAGTCCTTCCCATGGGCCACGTCCTGCCGACCCAGCCCGCTGCCCTGCAAGCGCTTGCCGACATCGCGGGTCCCACTGTCGCTGTCTGAGATCTCCTAACCTCGGCCCTCACCCGACACGCCCTGAAGGAAAGGCTTCCCTTCCTCTGCTGCTCCACCTCCGAGCCCCGGGAGGCGCCTGCCGCGCCAGGTTTTTCTGAACAAATGAACAACTCTGCAGAACAGGGAGTGAACAATCACACGTGGCATCAATAAAAAAGGTAAAGGAAGACGTGAGTGTTTCCGGGGGGGAAAGGATACGTGGGAGGGAATGAAAGTCTGAACATTTGATACTATCAGGTGCTGGCGGCCGATGTCGAAGGACGCTGGAATTCTGCGTCCAGCCAGACACAAAAATGGTGGCATTTTTGGCTCTGTGAGGAATAAAAATGTACTGTCATTTTCAAGGGTGGCTTTTAGGAAGCAACTAGAGGATGCGGCATTCCCGGAAGCCAGCGAGGCGCGACCTGAATACAGCAGGAGGGAAAAGCACAGGGGACTGGGGAATTACCCGCAGCAGTGCTGGGGCAGGGGAGAGGGCGCTGGGAGCCGAGCGCGTCTGAGGGGCCGGATGGCCAGGGAGGCGACAGCGCAGCACGTGTGGGCCTGGGACACCGCTGGGGCCTGGCAGGCCTGCTGGGGCAGCTGGAAAAGGTGGCCAGAAGTGCACAAAACAGCAAATACCGTACAGGAAACCGTGATGACGGCGCTAACCTCTTGAGACTGTCACGGTGCACTACCTGCCTCAGCACCGGGCGACGCTCAGGGGCCTGGCAAAGCCAGCACTGCTGCCCTTTGAGTGAAAACTCATATTGGGGAGGGGAAGAGCAGTGGAAGGGGTGGGATTGGAGAAAGGAATCATCTGCTACCACAGTAGGGAGGGCTGGTACCTGAAGCTCTAAATCCGGAATCGGAATCGGAATCGGCAAGTGCCTCGGTCAACACTGATCAGAACACTGCCACTCCCGGCCCATGGCCCACAGTGCTGCCAGAGGGCAGGGACAGGCTTGTCCAGTAGGAGCCCTTTTGTCCTGAGGGCTGTTTCCTCCAGCTTCACTCGGGTGTAACTGACTTATAATAAACTGAATAACCCAATACAAATACATTCAACACCATGAATACATCCTCTTACCTCTTACAGCCTTCTAATCCTTCCCTTCTCCTCTGCCCCACCCCTGGAAACCACTGATCTGCTTTCTCTCACTACCAAGCTATATTCCCTACAATTTTATACAAGTGGAAATGTACAATATGTTGTCTTTTTGTTATTTGGTTTCTTTCACCCAGAATCATTATTTTGAGATTCAGCTGTGTTGTTCCATGTATTAATATTTCATTTCTTAAAGCTCCTGAGCAATATTCCATTGCATCATTTGTTTATCCATTCCTTGTTGATGGACCGTCTGAAGCACCACAGAACATTCGGATGCAGATACCTCCTAGTAGGCAGTTAAATAGACCTACGCTGAGCCTCTGGTGAAGGACATGGATTCAAAAGTCATCAGTGTAAAAATGGGAACGGAAATAATTGACTGACATTATGTAGCCAGAATGTGCAGTAAGGGAAGATGAAAATTCTAATTCAAGAGGAAGGCACTGAACCTATGCCTTAGCACCTCCTCTCTCTCCAAATGAAGCAGGTAGATTGATGGAGCAGATGGAAAGGAAATGGGGTGAGGGAGAGGGAGAGGCAGAAAGAGGAAGTAAAAAAGGTCAAATGTGATACAAAATACCAGTACCCCCACGGTGAATATATCCATTATGTATCACGAACATAGGCTAATACACCATTTTAAAAATGTTTTCAGATGAAAAGAGATAAAAAATATTTAAAGATGGGGCCAGGGATTTAGCTCAGTGGTTTCGCCGCCTGTTGTGCAAGCGCAAGGACCCGAGTTCGATTCCCGGTACCAAAAAAAAATATTTAAAGATAAAAACTAAAATCCATTGCTCTATTCTGCCATAAACAAAGATAATCCCGAGTCATTTGTAGGAAAAGGGATGCACCTTGAGACCATAATGTTAAATGAAGTAAATCAGATGCACAAGCTTAAATATCACATGGTTTCTTTTATGAGAAACCCAAAATATAAATAAAGAGCAAAATAAAAGAATGATCATAGCAAGTGGGTGTAGATCTTTCTCAATGGGAAGGGGTCAAGACATGGAGGGAGGGGAGGAGAGGGGAAAACAGGAATGAAGATGTGTTGTGTACAGTGCCAACTCCTCACAGGAATGTAACTTTATGACTGTAAACACCGACCGATAGAAGTAACTAACTAACTAACCAGGGTGCCAGTCGGCCATTGACTTCCAAGTCATGCTGCAGACTAATGGATTTAAAGAATGTTAGACACAGAAGGGACCTGAGAGGTCTTTAAGTCGATTCTTCTCAAAGTGTGTGAGTATGCGTGTGTGCACATTCTGCTAGAAATGTTGTCTTTAAATGAGAGGTTACTGAGGAGGCTGGAAGACAGATCTATACGGCTCTGCAGAGAAGGAAACCAGCCTTGCCGAGAAGCCTCGGACTCTTCCCTTCCTCCCAGATTGAAATTCCCTGATCGGATCCAAACCTTCAGATACAAGTGAGAAAGAAGAGGCCAATTTCTTATCAAAAACTATTACTGGGCCAGGGATTTAGCTCAGGGGTTCTGCCACCTGCCTTGTAAGCGCAAGGTCCCAAGTTCGATCCCTGGTACCAAAACAAGCAACCCCCCTCAAAAAAACTATTATTGTTGTTGTTATTTGTGGTGCTAGGGATCAAACCCAGTGCCTCATGCATGCAAGCACTCTATTATTGAGCTATACTCTCAGCCCTTTTGATTTTGAGACCATGTCTCACCAAATTATCCAGGCTGGCCTCAAACTTGCAATCTTCCTGCTTTAATCTCCTGAATACCTGCAATTTCAGGTATGCACCCATTGTGCCTGGCTTCTTATTGGAAATTGTTATCGAAATTCCAAAATCCACCCAGAATTAGATGCTTCTTTTGGCAATCCTGCAGCTACTAATAACACATCAGAGCTCCACTTTACTCAGCACTCAAAGGAGGCACTGTGCTTCTTCACATTCCATGTGCCTTGATGAGACCCCTACAAGACAGACATTCTGGTCTCCCCCTTGCTGGTGAGGCTCTGATGGGTCAAGCAACTCCTCATGGTCACAAAAGCAGTAAGGCAGTGTTATGGTTCACACTTAGATGTTCCCCAAAGCCTCATGTACTCAGAGGCAGGGCTTTGGGGAGATGACTGGATCATGGTGTGTGATACTCATCACTGGGTTAGTCCAGTGGTGAGTTTATAGCTGAAGGTGGTCACTGGGGCGTGGCCTGGCAGGCTCTGTCTCCTTCCCTCCCTCCTCCCTTCATCTTGCTGCTTCCTGCTGCCCTGCCACAGACTGTTTCTCCTCTGCCATGCTGCCCCACCTTGGAGCCAGCCAGCTCTGGACTGAAACCTCTCTAAACTGTGAGCCAAAGTAAACCTCTCCTTCTTTAAAATGTGAGCATCAGGTAATATGTCTCAGCGACAAGAAAGTGACAAAGACAGGCAGGAAATGAACCTGGGTCCATGTGACCCCAGAAGATGTGTTCTTGAACCTTCACACTACGCTGCATCCAATTCTCCCTTAAAACTCCCTTTCCCAAAGCACAAGACAGGCAAACATGCCAACAAGGATGAAGACGAGACAAGATGTCAAAATAGGGAAGCTGCTACATGAAATTCTTTAGTGTGAAAACAGGAATGGTGGGAGATGGCCACAAGAGACACAGACACAGACAGTTGCAGAGAAGGTG